GTGGAGTAGATTTAAAAATAGATGGCAAACCAGCATCATTAGTCCATAATGATCTAAAAATGAAGATGTATAGTACTGAAAATGAAAAATGTAATGTTCCCTGTACTTAAAGAAAATTTCACAACTTCAGGGCATGATTTTCAGAAGTGACTATTGGTTTTGGGTTCCTCAATTTTTGTGTGCCCAAATGGAGACATTGTGTCAAGGGGCACGATTCTAATAGAACAAGTACTCAACACTTTCTGAGAAACCAAGCCCCATTTAGGTGCATCAAGCTGAGCACCCAACAATAGAGGCATGCAAAAACAATAGTCACTCTTGAAAATATTGGCCTGTGTCCAAATTCTGTCCTTCATACATGCAGTTAGATATCCATATGCAAAAATCCAAGGGTATATTTTATTTACAGAGGTCTTCTTTGGGAGAGACTTGCATTAGATAATTTAAAGTCATTTACAGTACAGTTGGATGAAAAGTAACTACAAAAAAGTATCCTTACTTTAAATAAATCCCCAAAATATGTCCAGTATTGTAATGCCACTCATTTGAAATGGGGCACTACATGACTTGCTGAAAGAGAAATATTTAATGCTCTCGAACAATAAGGTGGACAGCAAATTAATGAACAGTGCTTTTGGCTGTCACTCATTCTGTGATTTCTGTGTCGAAGTTTGTAGCAGAAGAGAGGCTTGTTAATAAAATTACTTTATTCAAAGGGAATTCCAATTTCTAGTAACAGGTTCCAGAGTGCTTTCAATGAGTACTGATGTAATGCATATAAATGCTTGAGGCTACTTATGAGACAGGTATAACTAAGACAATGAAGTGTAAGCTAGTGTTACTGAAATGAATGTATGAATTGAATTACATAATCATTTTGAGACTATTAGTAAGTCAGGGGATTGCCAAAGTGAAAACAAATATAGGACGGTAGTTAGAATGAAAAGAGTTCAATACTGCTGTGTTGTACTGTGTTTGGGAAACGTGTGTCAGTATTTTGAGCTATATAATAAGGCAGAACAGAATTTAGTTTTATGTAAGATTCTTCACAGTTGAGGTATTGTAAAGCACTTTACAAAGTGATGACTGAGGTACTGGGAGGGTGGCTCAAGGGCTTGGTAATAAGATACAGTGCCTTTCACCTCTAGGTCACTGGTTCAACTCTGCCTCAGGTTAAAGAAGACTAAGACTTGTTACCACCTGACAGCTGTTCATTGGTCTCAGAAAAAAAGTCGATGGTCTTAGTCCAGTTTTTAGTGGACTAGTGTCCACATCACAATTAGCACTTTTTACAGTCTCCTGAGAAAGGCAAAGGATTTACACTTGATCTGGCTCTCACTGAAGTCAGTAGAGAACTTCCATTTACTTCAACAGAAGCATAATCAGGCCCTTAATGAGCATGGAAACTGAATTACTCTGTACTAATACGGATGATCTTTTAAGGTCACTGTGAGAGAAGCTTGCATGGTACTTCCTGTTCTGTAGCTGTCCTGTGCATGAATAGATGACTTCAGTCTTCTTGGGGAATGCCAGTCTAGCACTTCTCACAAGAACTGATATTTAATTTGAAAATTATTTTGAAGTGTGGTGGAGAGGAAGATCCTGGGAGTGTATGCAAATACAGCAGTCATCCAACATTCAGCACTAGCTTTCACACACATTCTTGAGCATTAAAAACTGATTTAACAGAGGAATGTTGGTGAGGACACTGATTTTATTACCCCGGATTTTTGAAAAGGGATGTGGTGTCTTATTTCCACACAGCCACCCAGAATCTGATGGCACCTGTAAGAGAGTAGTACACATACTGTAATATAGTATCATCACTGGCTATGAGCCCAAGTACTGATTTGTAATTTAAATCTGTCTTCTAGCCTGGAGGCAATAATGCTACCAGCTCAGCTATACAGACACTTAAATCATAAGGAATCATGTAATACAGGACTAGAATGCCATCAGGTGGCTCGAATATCAAAAACCATGAGCGTGACCCTCAAGGATTTTATCATCAAAACATCAAACCAGAAATTTCCTTACTTTCTTTGCTCTCTTCCACTTAAGATATTTCTACATGCAACATTGTTTACAAATAAAATGAGATGTATTGTTATTATAGGCCATTGACTTAGGCACATCTCAGTGAAGATTTGACTAAAAAAGTATTCTTATTTCCCACATAAAAATGCATTACATAAAAGGAAAAAAGACAACAACAAAAAAGACCATCATTTTGATGACAAACAGGATTTTCCACAATGCCTGTTATTCAGAAGGAATTTTCTGACACTGCAGTATATATTTATATTTGTTAAATATACGTAAGGAATGACACATGAGAGTGTGCATGTGTTGTGAGGTATTGGCATATCTTTGAGTACATAATAAGACAGAGTTTCAAGGAGAGTTTAGTGGCATTATTTTTTTAATGGTGTCTGCCTTCTAAGAGTCATTTCGGCACTAGTTGTGGATACTTGCAAGACAAGGGCAGAGCACATGAGGCTGTAGCAGTTGTAAAGGTGATTACTCAGCAAATAGTGGATAGAAAATATTTCTTATTTTTGCCTCTTCCTCTCTTCATTAGACATACTGAAAGGCCATTGATGTAACTATTTGCTTCCAATCTATATAGATATGTTATTGCATATGTATCTTTGGCGGTCAGTCAGATTGTTCCTTTTAATTATAATTTATAAATAGGTTTGTATGTGTTTTACATCATTTAAAATGCCTTAAAAATAGTCTGATAAACCATGTTTTAATACTATTGAGGTAAGTGAAATACCAGATGGAACTAGGAAAAAATTAATATATGGTGTAATGTCTGTTTAACAAGAATGCTGCTGCACATTCCATTTTCAACATATTGGGGAATATGCCCATTTTCTTGAACTGTTTTGTTATTCCTATATTGAATGTAAAAGAAAAAATAGCTTCTCTCCTGTCGACTGACTGGTGTGATGTAATTCTGATTAGCTAAATCTGCCTTCTTCATTGAGGTTAATATAGTTTGACAGCACCTCGATTAGGAAGCAATAATTTCTGTTGATAGTAAACAGTTGGTCACTTTCAGCAGAGATGGGGAATGTCTTTTGTCTTACATTAGATTTGAGCTGTTGGCTAAAATGGAGTTAAATTCCAGTGATTCCAAAAGTAAAGTGATGTATTCAGGAGTGGAATGGCAGAGCATGTTGTAGTGGTAGTAAATAGTTATGCTATGGTAGCACCCAAATGCCCTAATTAGATTGGGGCATCATTGTGATGGGTGCTGTGGAAACATAGAGAAGAGGCATTTTCAGTCCTGAATGGATTGCATCTAAAGGATTTTGGAAAGGAGTGCAGAGACTGACTTTTGTTGTAAGAACTATAGATTATCACACATAAAAAGTGTGTCATTGGCACCCATGCAAGCTGAGTCAAACTTTGTTAGAATGACACAGAGCATTGTCCTGTGGAGACAGAAGTGAGGGTAATCATTAACCTTATCAGGAAAGCAGTACGATTTTATTAACAGCTGCTATAAGTGCAATTCTGTACCTTTAAGAAATGGATGTATCTGATAAATAGCTTTTCAGTCTAGATCAATAACTTGATTTGCTTTACACAGTTTGATTTGTGTTTGCATTTAATTTTGTTTCACTTAATGTAAAAAACTCAAAAAGGAGAAATAGCAAGTATATTTCTTGGGTAGAATTCCATATACACAGTTTTGTGTTATTTGATTTCTTTTGTGAAAAATGAAAAATCCCAGTGAAATATATTTTTTTGCTGTGCTCTAGTAACTGGAGTGTTAAAAGTAAAGTGTCTGATGCTAATGTTGGTTGCGATCTGGTATCTATTATAACATGTGGAGGTGGTAATGCCACATATGATAGGTGGAGAAAAGGAACAAAGAGCTTTGTGCAAACAGTTATTTACTTCTCCAAAGATTGTTTGCTTCCTGGAATGTGAAACCAAGCAAACTCCAATGCAGAAGGAACCTGAGGTATCTTTATTTACAGAAGGCCAGATTCTGGTACCCTTAATTACACTGGGTAACACTTTTCTCCACATTGATGTCAGTCAGACTACCTGAGGAATAAAGTTCTATCCAACATGAAATGAATATGAATGGTTTCTTTATCTGAATGCTCTGGTGCTGTCAGTGGGGAGATTGCCTTCACCCATTTCCCACTTCTGTTTCATTCTCGCTGGCAAGGAAGGTTGAATATGACTTCCTCTAGAGCCCATCAGTATTACACTCCTTCCTCTTTTTCTCTTGTCTGCCATTTCTTGAGATGGAGTAGGCTATACAGCCCATATGGGCTTAAGACCAAACTTGGTCCACGAATTCTGATCCACTGCATGGCAGCACATTGTGTGGCTATTAGATCACTAGGGTAGATCGCTCAAATTTAGGTGATTATTTCTGTTGCCCTCAAACTGCACCTCATTATGTGAACCTAACTTAGCAATAATTTAACATTTTTCTGAAAGGCAGAAAGAAGTACTCATGCTCATTTACTCTTCCCCTCTCCCTCCTTTTTTACTGAAGAGAAACATTTTGCCTTCTGCCATTGCCAAATTATTTAGAAGAGTGTAAATTGAAGCCATTTATCTTGAAATGTGCTATCGGAGCAGACTGTTTATACAAGTGTAAGAAATTGTAGCATAGAAATATTTGGTCTGGTTTGTAAGGAAAAAGTTTCTCAATTTTTTTTTTAATTTCTACTTCTGGAATATTGATTATAATGTAGAAAAAGCACGTGTCTAACAGCCTATAATTTATGCATCACTTTTTTAGTGTAGTCCAGACAATGAAGTTGTTTTTTAATGAAGAATACTTTTTTGTTACCTTGTTGGCAAAATAAATTTAATATTAGCTTTAAAATTATTTCAGCTCAGAACTGACTACCACATACTCCATAGTTGTGGTGAAGTTTATTGGTGACCTGTGAGCTCTTAGAATGTGAATCTAGAGTAAATTATTGGCTAATACAAAGCTGTAAATATTTGTCTGTCAGTTGGTGGACGAGTGAGTCGGGAGTTAAATTACACGCGCCAGAAGATTGGAGAAGAGGCCATGTTTAATCCCCAGCTCATGATTCAAACACCACAAGAAGATGGTGCTAATGTACTAACAACAGAAGCACTCAGACAGCACCTTGACTCTGCACTTCAAGCCAGCAGGGTACACATTTATATGTACAACAGGTAAGGTGGGGAAGCAAAGGCATTTCTGATCTTATGTGGCAACTAACAAGTAGATATACACTTATTCTCTGCTTTACATGCATTTTTGAAAGGCTAGCAATTAAGAACACCTTTCATTAGCACTGCATTTTGATTTGTATTTGATTGTCAGGACTTAGATATTTGAAAGAGTTTTATGATAACAGTGAGAGTTTGGATCTTAATAAATAAAGCAAAGATAAGGAGCATTGGATCAGAGCCTGAAACCCTTACTCACACGAGTAGTCCTGCAGTACCAGCCTATTGCTTGGTAAAGTAGTGGTGACTCTGCCCCACAGAATCTACATGTGGTGTTAGCACTTCATTGGTGGGCTTTAGAGCAGTAAGAAGCCCTCCACATTGGAGATGCCCTCACTCACTGCCACCTGAAGGAAACAAGTAATTACTGTGGACACTAGTGCAGATGACATTCCAAGACTTTGGGAACAGGGGCTATATGAATAGATGGGAAATGGAGTTCCGATTGATTATTTGGTGTAGACACAAGGATGCCAAACTTGGGTTTCTCGGTATCTGTACAGGTGCTTAATGTATCTGAGGTCTGCTTGATTAAATTGTCTATCTAAAAATAAAATTAAGCATGGTAATAGGAATAAATGTGTCTAGTAATAAGGATGACCTTTAACAATAAGTATCCACTGTTGACCCTGGGCTAGATAGTAGAGTTAAGTACCCCGCTGAGGCTCAGTTCCTGCCAGGGTTACCTCTGGGTTGGGGAAGTAATCTGATACACTCTTATGTATCAGAGCAGGTGCCTAGCACGGGTAGAGCCATGGTCCTGCTTACACCCTGTCCCTTCCTGCCCACTTGTTCCTAGGGGAGCATCTCCAGGATAGCTCCTGCACTTCCCCAAGTGCTAGAAGCTGAGATGTTGATAGTTGTAACACAGCCAAACTGGGAGGTAGACTCTTAATTCCTCCTACTCTCCAGCACAGATGAGTTAGGGCTAGGATTATTCTAGCCTCCTGAGCTTGATTCTGTCCCTCCTGCCCGCACCCTCTTTAGTCACATTAATTAGTGCCTTACGCTATAAGTAGTCCCACTTACAGGAGCCAGATCCTGCCACCTTCATTCACGTTGAATAACACATTGCTCCAAGAGTAGCTCCATTGTTTTTAATTACTTTTATACCATGCCTACTTGCCATGCCTACTACAAACATATAGATGCACCAGAAGAGGCCTTTGCACTGTGAGGTGTGGGGTGCTAACTCCAAATGAGACCTCCCTTTCTCGGTACTTACTACCTAGAAGTGAGGCATCTACATATGTGAATTGCAATTTTAAATGTGTGTTGTGTTTATATAATGCATGCTTTTGATTGTGGAAGACATTTTTGTTCTTTATGTTTTTTACAGACAATGGAAATTGGAACATTTATGTTTTAAATCAGGAGAACTTATCACAGAAGCAGGGTACATGGACCAGGTAGATATACCATGAGTTTGGTTTCTATACATTTTACTTCCCCACTCTTCATAATAACTTCCACTTGTGCACTTTGATATGTTCGAGCCTAAATGTGTGTGCTTTTTCCCCTTCTAACTTTGACAGATTATAGAATATCTTTATCCTTGTTTAATCATCACGCCTTTGGACTGCTTCTGGGAGGGGGCAAAGTTACAGGCAGGGACTGCCTATCTATTGTAAGTGAACTGTTTTATTTTCTAATCTGTGGGGGGGTTTTAATTGTAAAACTGTGCATGTTTTCACATTCCATTCCTATTGTTTATTCGGATGCTGGTTTAATCAAGAAATAAAAACATTAGTGATGAGTCAGAAAATGTATATGGATTTTATTTTTTTAATTGAACAAAAAGAGCTCCACAAAGTTTTTTTTCCTTTTTCCTCAGAAGCTGAATTGTAGGCATCAAATTAATCTTTATTTATTTTTACTATTACATTAACATGCAAAAGAAAATGCAGCTTCTCAGTTTTTATGACCTTTTAAAGTTGTTTGCTTTTTTGGAAATAAACTTTGTTTTTGTCCTTGAAAACCACAAAGGCATTGATTGCTTGAGAATTCAGTTTAGCTTAGCTGTGGATAAATGTACGTGGATAATTGTCGGGAGTAAAATCTCAAGTCTTCCTAAGGAGTAAAAAGCTAATCCTTTGTTTATTAGATCATTAAAGAAACAAAAATAGTATCTTTTAGGAGAGGTTTTCCACAGCATACTATTGTGATATTATATGCACTCAATCCTTCAAAGAGTGAATTGTTAATCTGTGCAGACATTTTTGGTTAATTATGCAAGAGTTAGCATTTGAGTTATTGTTTCTGCCCTGGTTTGCATGTGTCTGTAAAGCAATTTGCAATGGCCATCTCCTAACCTTTAGTGTACAGTCTTAGATGGGGAAATAAGGGGTTTTGTGTTTTCTGGTTGGGAGATTCGGAATAATGACTTAAGCCTGGTTAAGCAGATACAGTGTGGTTTGAACCACAAAATAAGGCTGCCAAAAGCCTTTCTGGTCTATCAACATCACAAATTCAAAAGTGGGGGGTGGGACAAGTGGCAGGGATGGCCGTGGCAGCAGGGAGTTTGCTTGCTGATTGCCGAGCTGTCAGAGAATTGGAAGGAGCACAGTACTATTAGAGGTAATAAAGATCAGATATTTTGATTGATTACATTTGAAAAACATTTATTAGACTAAATGAGTGGTAATCTGACACTGTGTGAAATTCTTTCTCCCCTGTGTCCCCCTCACTCCCCTTTGGTGGTATTGCTTTGAAGCAGCAGTTGGTTGCCTTTTGGGGGGGGGGGCAAGGTGGCTATGTGAGTATATTTACCATAATTAACATGTAAATATTCCCTTTATTAGAAAAAAGATAAGGCTGATCTTTATGTATGGGGCTTTTAAATAAGGTTGCATCAGGACTACATGAAGAAAATATATAAACAAATCCAATTAAAATATACATTTCATTTGATAAAATAGGTTCCAAAAGTGGATTACAGCTCAAAATAGCTAAAACAGCATTCTAGTCTTTGGACAAATACAGATTTAAAAACTAAAGGCTTTTCTTCAATGTATTTTCCATCTTTCTACCCCTAATTTCTTTTACAGAGGGAAACCTCCTTTGCAGTGGATAAACTTTGACCCCTTAGAATTCTTGGAAGAGTTAAAAAAAATAAACTATCAAGTAGAGAGTTGGGAGGAGATGCTGAATAAAGCAGAGGTTGGTCATGGTTATATGGATCGACCTTGCCTGAATCCTACTGATCCCGATTGTCCAGTCACAGCCCCCAACAAAAATTCAACCAAAGTAAGCTTGCTTATCATCTGTGAACTATTTCAGGGAAGTGGGTGTATGTGAGGAGGGAAGGGAAAGGGGTGTAATTTTTTTAAAGCAACACAAGTCTCATATTTCCAAGCAATCTTTATTATTTGATTCCTGTTACATGGACTTAATCACGAGCTGCTAACTTTCTTCAGTCTCTGAGGCAATACTGTGACCCACATACTCAGAGTCAGATTATGGCTCTTCAGCCATGGGCATGACGGGAGATGGTACCACAGTGACACACTATCCTGTCTGGAACACCAGTAGTCATTGTGCCTCAGGCAGGCACAGTGACTCCTGGAGTGCAGGAGGAATGCAGCTGCTGCTACACACTGACATGGTGTACCATGCTGGGCCAGTTTTGCTGACCTGTGCAGAGGATTGGCAAGTCCTTGGCCCCAACTTCACCTGCCCCCTCCAACCCACTATTACAACTCTGGTGATGCCAGAGTTGTGTAGTCACTGAGCTTGATTTTACTTTTAGTTGCTGGTAAATCAAGAGTAAACAAACTGAAGTCAATGGGGTTACATAAATGTAAAATCAACATACAAGTAGGAGAATCAGGCCCGTTGTACTTTTGGCGTATAAGAACTATGATTATGCCTGGTCACACTGTAGATAGAAGCACGTGTGGGGAGGAAGGGCCTTGTGTCTTCTACCCAGTAGAATACTGGTGCAAGGCTTGACTCAAGCCAGTCCTTAGTGTCATTTGGATTTGTGTCCTTTCACCACCCACTCTCTCATCACACAAACATATTAACATGCAAAAGCTCACGAAAAGAAATAAAATTGTAATAAAGAATGAGGTTCACTTGTTGACAGTCTCACTTGGAATTGAATGTGCTTGAAGATCTCTTCCACCTCACTGAAGTTAATGGGAGACAATTGGCAAGTCCAAGTCATTTCCAGGGTTTCAGTGGGAGTTTTTCCTGAGTAAGAAACTTCAGGATCAGACCGCACATTTACATGACAAATCATATTCCTAACACTATTTTGAATTTGCATATTCAGGATGCATATTCCAAATAGCATATCTACATGGGCAGAGAAAATGAATTATCTAGAAAAGTGTTAGCAAGGAGTGCTTCCTTGTGGATTTTGTAGTAGATGTGTTTGGTCTGATATTAGAAACAGATTCCATCTTCATGTTTTATTAGGAACCTAGTCTGCAGTCTAGATGTATGTCTCCTTGTAAATCAGTCATTTTTGGAAGGTACTATAGGCCCTATGCCTCTTCCATCAAGATATATTAGGCCTTTTTTTATTTAATATATTTTAAAACACTATGGCCTCTTCATTGAGCTAGTAGTATGTTGTCCTTCCTCCTATCATCTTGAAATATATTTTTAACCAAGTTTTCATGCTTTACGAGTTAGCGTTCCTTAAATCAATGTACAGAATAGTGTCTCCATGAGCACCTATTGCATTGTCGACATCATGTTTCAGTGCATTCATGTACTAAGTATTAGGATTACAAGTGAGAACTTCCTGTCATAAAAATATAGTTAATCTGTATTTTACACAGTGTAAAAATAAATAAAACCAACCAAACAAAAACAGTATGGTTTAAGCTTTGAAGTCTCATGAAGAAATATTTGGCTAGCTCCAGCTCTTTGCTGGAAGTTAATCATGAAGGCTGTTCTGTTTGATAAGCACATTTTTAGCATTTGACTTCTAATTTATTTTATTCCAATGTACTAGATGTTGATGTCAAATATGATTTGTCTGCTAAGTCACACAGCTGGATGACTTATCAATAATTTTATTTTAGCCTCTTGATGTGGCCCTTGTTTTGAGTGGTGGATGCTACGGACTGTCAAAAAAGTACATGCACTGGCAGGAGGAGTTGATTGTAGGTGGAACAGTCAAGAATGGTACTGGAAAACTTGTCAGGTAAACACACAGAGTTTTAAAGTAAATTCTTGAGCTTTACACTGCTAGGGTTTTTTTTTTGTTTGTTTGTTTTTAAATAGTATAAAACCAATTGCCTCCTAAAATCAGTGAATGTATATTTTAGTTCAAGATTCAGGAAAATATCTTTAATAAGGACATCATTTAAGCATGTGTTTAAGTAGGCACTTAAGTGCTGTCTTGAATCAGGATGACTCAGGCACATGTTCAGCTGCTTTCCTGAATTGGGACCTTAATATTTACTCGCATTTAAAAAAGTATTTAACAGTATGTGCATAGGCGCCGACTCCGTGGGGGAAAATTGGTGGGTGCTCTGCACTCACTGGCAGCTCCCTGCCCCCCTCCTCCGCCCCAGCTCACCTCCGCCTCCACTCCGCCTCTTCCCTGAGTGCGCTGCGTGCCTGCTTTTTCCCCCTGGCTCCCAGCGCTTGTTCCATGAAACAGCTGTTTCGCGGTGGCAAGCACTGGGAGGGAGGGGGAACGCGGCATGCTCGGGAGAAGAGGTGGGGCCGGGGCCAGGATTTGGGGAGGGATCCAATAGGGACAGGGAGTGAGCGGAGTTGGGACGGGGACTTCGGGGAAAGGGGTTGGAATGGGGGCAGGGCAGGGGTGGAGTCAGGGCAGGGGCGGGGGGGGGCGCAAGCACCCACCGGCGCCGGGAGAAGTTGGCACCTATTAGTATGTGCAACTTGCACATGTTTTCAAAATAAAAAATTGTGACATTTTTATGGTGACATTTTTAGAGTTGCAAAACTGTCATAAAAAAGAGAGAAGCAAACTGCATGCTGAGGTCACTGCTGCCTGCTTCTGACCCAACAGACATATACATATTCCTCGGAGTGGAAGGCTTTTTCTGGTGACTTAGGCCCAGATCCACAAAGGGACTTACATTGTGATGCTAAGTGTTGCAATGCCTAACTTTTAGGTGCCTAAAAAATTCACAAGAACATAGGTGCCTAAGTTCAGGCTTCAGGGAGGTGCCTATCTCTGCTTGAAATCCATGAACCTGGAGAAGACAGCCACTCCCCCACCAAACTTGCATGCAGTATCCAATCCAGTAGCCATGCTTAGAGGCTGCCTAGATCTACACAAAACATCCAGAGGATAGGGTAAGGAGGAGGAGGCAGATCTCCCTTATAACCATTAACCCATTGGTTAGTGTACTCACCCAGGATGTGGGAGACCACTGATTCAAGTCCCCCCTCTCCATAATGAGAAGGGATTTGAATAGGGGGTGCCACCTCTCCAGTGAGCATTTTAACCACTGTACTGTACTTCAACAGGAGACTGAGGGAGCTCCACATCAGAATATCACATAGGATAATGGTTAGGGCACTCACCTGAGATCGAATTCTACTCTGTATGGCAATATATCTTGAATAAACATTGTGATGGATGCAAAAAAACCTGGAATGTGGCAGGTATCTCAAAAGAATTCCTGGGACCCCAGCACATCATATGAAGAAACAGGACTGTCCTTGGAAACAATGGGCCATATGGTCATTTTACATATATATAGAGTAGCAGAAGTTTAAGATGCAGGTTATATATTAAAATAAAATTAAATGGATGTGTTTATGCCGAGACACAACATAAGTATCATTGAGAAGTTAAAAAATGCATGCAGAATTTTAATAGAAGTTTTTATAAAGATTTTGAAGTTTTTACACTGAGTATTAAGGGTTTTTTATTTTATTTTAATGAATTTAATATATTCTGTAAAGGTGAACTGCAGCATAGTTTAAGAAGTAGCCAAAAACATATCTAAAGTGAAATGTGTACTGTCTTTCCTTGGATGGCTATGTGTGCTAGATACAATCATATAATGTTGAAAGAGAGCAAAAATTTGCTGATGAACAGTGATCACCCTTTGTATAATCCTGGTTGCTTGTCAAGAGTTCAGTCTGGCATTTCTCCCCAAGGAAAGCAAAAATCCCAAAGCCCCTGGATGAAGAATTATTGACAACTTGCTACATTATGCAGTATTCCTCGCTATTCCTCTGCCCTCCCTAGTTCATATATTAGAAATTAAATAGTAAATTGACTATTAATTTAATTTTTGTCTTTGTCCAAAAACAGATTTGTAAGGTTACATCCTTTAGGCCTGAAACTGATTTTATTGAAGTTCATGGCAAAGCTTCCATTGTCTTAAGCAGAAGCAGAATCTGGCCCTAAATACTGTATATATCAATACATCTGTACCAGTAACTAAATAGAATAATTACTCTGGTTCAATTTTAATGTGCCTTATAAAAGAAAAACAGTCTTGCAAGTTGCTCTAAGGCTCTCATTCAAGACTTTATGCAATGAAAATCACTTCCTGAAAATGTTTGTTTTATACCTTTTCCTCCTTCTCCCTCTCCCTGTTACAGTGCTCAGGCTTTACAGACCATGTTTCAGTTAATGACTCCTAAGCAAATGTATGAACACTTCAAGGGGTATGAGTATGTTTCACACATCAACTGGAATGAAGACAAGGCAGCCGCAATTCTGGAAGCCTGGCAGAGGATGTATGTTGAGGTAAAATACAAAGTCACCTGGAAATCATGCTTTGAAATCTCATAGATTATAGCAGTCCAATAAGGAAGGTGCTTAATGTGTGGGTGTGTCCTAGTTCTAAAGTAATAATGTACTCACTGCAACAGGATATTTTAAAATACTGCTTTTCTTTCTTCTTTTTAATATAACAACTATTTGGCTGTTCACATATGAGTAACACTAAGAAAAGGTACTGTTTATTTTTTGTTCCTGTTATTGAGAACATTTTTCTGATTTGCTGAGACGGAAAAAGAACTGAAGATGTAAGTGCTAGACTGAATTTAAAAGCACTTGGTCAGTGTGATTACTGGAGAAAGGTGTCTGGAAAACATTAGCTAGCCATAGAATCTGCTCACAGCTGCAGTCCCATTGGTGAGGTCATGTGACATTATCTGGCCTTTGTTTCCCAGGCATTGACCTCTGCTGAGCTGCTTGTGACCTCCCTAAAGTGGCCGGCCAATGAAGAAAGAGAGGAGTGCCCTTAAGAATTTGTTGTTTTGGATTAGAGGCAAAACTGATATAACAAGAGTTAGAGAGAAAAGGAAGAGAGCAGAAAAGCCTTCTTAAATTTCAATATTGAAAATTTTTCTGAATGAACTGTGATTGCAACTGCCTTCTCAGCAAAACACACATTCTAATTTGATCTTCAGTAACTTGCAATGAATATGTAGCAAATGCATTAGTGATTTCAACTAGGATCAACAAAATCTCCTCTGAAGGGTGTACATTTTAATGCTAATGATTAAGACAAAAGTTGGCTTCAAATGTATAGTGCAGAAAGCTCATAATGTATCCCCTTCGTTTAGTAATGCTTATTGTTAAATATCTGTTCACAGGTTGTTCATCAAAGTGTTGCACAAAACTCTACTCAGAAGGTGCTTTCCTTTACTACAACTACTCTGGATGACATCCTAAAATCATTTTCTGATGTCAGTGTTATCAGAGTTGCTAGCGGCTACTTATTAATGGTAAAATAAATGTAATCTTGTTTATTTAATTTCTCTAGTGTTCTAACTGCTTTTAACATACATGTGCATTATTGACTCCAGCCTATGGTATATACAATTTTCATAATGCCTAGGATGAAATTGTCAGTTTGCAATTTGTGCATCTTTGACTTATGAGTATCACCTGTTTATGTAACATCTCTAATGTGTGTACTCTTTTAAAATGTATTTTGTATGCATGCTTTTGGTTGGGGGAGGTAAACATTAGAATATGACACATTCTAATGTTTTGCTTTTGTTTTTTCCATTGTTCTGCTTTCAGCTTGCCTATGCCTGTTTAACCATGCTGCGGTGGGACTGTGCCAAGTCCCAGGGTGCCGTGGGGCTGGCAGGAGTCTTGTTGGTTGCACTCTCAGTGGCTGCAGGATTGGGCCTGTGCTCATTGATTGGAATTTCCTTTAATGCTGCCACAACTCAGGTATTAAGGAGCTATTTAGTCTGCTGTTAGATTACAAGTGCTCTGTTAGTAAACAAACCCATCAGAATCAGTCTTTGAAAAAAATTAAATAAAAATGCTGAGTTTAGATTTTAGTTCTGTACTTGTGCCTATTTCCTCCAGCAGCTCACATTTCATATGTCCCACTGTGAGAAATTGCAAAAATAGTGCTCCTGTTGGGTGTTAAAGAGAGAGGCCCCAATCCTGCAACTTACTTTATGCAGGCAGACCCCGGTGCACTGATTCTGCAGGGGTGCAGAATAGGGGACCAGACATTTTGCTCTTACATCTAAAAGTATCAGTCTGCCCAAGTTCTAACAAAATACACTTGGGATCTAATCCGGTATTCCTTGTCTACCCAAATCTCTCATTGACTTCAGTGGGAGTTTTGCATGCATAAGGAATGCAGCATCAGTCCCTTGGCACTATTTCAGAAAGAAAGTTACTAGCCTTACTTTATCCTTTAGTTTTTTGTTCCTGTCCATAGATTCCTGTTTAAAGTGTGCTGGGAATATTGTTTAATTAGCCATTTAATCTCTGGCTACATGGTAGGTTATAAGTGTAATATAACAGCTTCCTTGGTTTTTTTTCACAGGTTTTGCCTTTTCTTGCTCTTGGAGTTGGAGTAGATGACGTTTTCCTTTTGGCACATGCATTTAGTGAAACGGGGCAGAATAAGAGAATTCCATTTGAGGTAATGATAACATGGGGAGTTGGGGCAAATAAAGGAAAAGCTTCAGAGACACAGAATGTGACTAGGATTAATGGTCTTTTTTAAGGAGTGGGGGGAGAAAACTAAGCTAAAATAATCTAAGCAGAAGTTTAATATTTAAATATGATGCAAGAGATAATTTAGGAAGCAATCCTACCTCTTCTGCACACCCATAACTCCAAGTAAATGTATGTTTTGGAGGTGAAAGAAATAAAGGATTGTGACTTTAAAATGCTAAAATATTTTTGCATCCATCATTTAAAGTTTTAAGGCACAAAGGAGCAGGAGGGAGTAAATTTGAAAACCAAACACGCATTTTAATTGTTGTATAGGAAAAAAAATTGAGGTGAGGTTTTTTTGTTTTGTTTTGAATTATGCATGTTCCACAATTCCTTTTTATTTATAAAGGAGTGATAATTGAAAATACTAAATAATCATTAACATATGAGCATTGTGAAATCCCAAATCCTCTAATTTTACAGCACTCTCCCTCTAAACTGGGGTTTTGTTTTCAGTTTGGAGTTTCGTATCAGAATTACAAATCTGTGTAAAAAAGCAACATGTATTTGCTTGTTTTTTTATTTTATACAAACTGTGTCTTCCACATGCTCTTTTGTCATCTGTCTTAGCACACAAGCACCACAGACTCCTTTACCTGTAGCCACCATGTGCTTTTAAACCAACAGCAAACAGCCCTGTAGGTTGGCGAACAATCCTTTCTCAATTATTTTTTAACAAAGTATGAAGCTTTGTGTGGTCCTGGGTTTATTGCTACATGCTTCCCAAGACATGTAGCTACAGGTACATAGTTTAGCCATGAGTTTAATGCATGGTTATTTTGTCTGAAAAATATTTAAAACAAGTGACTGAACTGATACAAAACATAACCTCGTTAATAAAAGAAATATTTGATATCTGATCTCAGCATCACTTCATCTTTGAATTTTGAAGCCATGCTAAGCCTTCTTTTCCCCCTAAAGAATTGTTAGTGCTTTATGTGGCACCTGCTATGTTGTTAGATTATGTTAAGTGGGTGCATTTATTTCAGTACGAACTTGTTATAGATTGCCATTGTCATCATGTTACATCTACAGTGGTGATCTCTCGCTGCTACCTCACAGCTCCATTTGCAGGATCTAACCCTTAAACACCCAATGCTGTATACTCTTGAATTCATTGGACTTTTAAGATATGTTGTATGTTTTTCAGGATAGAACAGGTGAATGTTTGAAGCGAACAGGAGCAAGCGTCGCCCTTACATCTATCAGCAATGTTACTGCCTTCTTTATGGCTGCCTTAATTCCTATTCCTGCTTTACGGGCATTTTCACTCCAGGTAAGTTGATATCATGTTTTGCTGGCTTATATGGTTGTGCTTATGTCATGGTAGGGCCAGGATAGTAACTCTCAGTGATAGTATCATGGTCAATACCGGGTACTTCTCCATTCCACTGCATTGACTTCTGCTCCCTAGTCTACCACACATATAGAAAGAGGTGACAACACCCATTCTTTTCATCCTTACTCTGCTCCTCCTAGTTCTCACACATGGATCCTGACCCTCTGGTGTCCCGCAGGAGAGTGAAAGAGCACCCTGACCCATCCAACTGTCTCCCAGCACAAAAACAGAAAAGTAGAAAACTAAGCGAGATTTAACACACACACACCTCCGCGGCTAAAAGCAGCAGGCTATACACTAGCCTACAAAACCAGATTGCTGACTGGGAATATAATTCCTTGTGCAATGACAGCAACAAGGAGCATTGCTACCACATTAACTATTACCACAGCAATAGGTACTTCCCTTATTCCCAATGTCTTTTTAACAGAGTATTGGAACAAAGTATATCGATAATTTCATGTGCCCAACTACTTTGAGAGAATGTGTGAATGTTATGAATGGAAGGCGCTCGCTCTCTCTCTCTCTCTTTCTCTCTCATATTTATGTTTGTGATAAAACATTTTCAGAGAGATTAAATATTGAGAGATACTGAAGGAAGCTCCTCTTCAGAGCTAAAGGGCTCTTTGAAGAGAGCTCTGGGAGGTTCTCCTCTGACACTGCTCTAACACATAGGCAATTTATAGCACTGTCTGACCTTAGTACACAGCAGAGAAACTGTACTTTTTCAATAGTAATTTTTCTTCTGTTGTAGCCTGGCTCTCTAATCGTTTTTCATTCTACTTGACCCTTGACCAACCCAGAGGAAGTGAGGGCTGCAATTTTTCTTAATACCTGTGGCAATTATTGCAGTTTTCAGAGGCTCAGGCATGTCTGCATTAAGCTGTGAAACGATAAGTAGTTACTGATTACAGCTGCATGAAGACCACTGAACATTAATAATTTACTATTTTTCTTCTCAATAGGCATTTTGATAGTGAATAATGTAGAAAATACAGGAAAACACAGGCATCACTGTTCTGCATTGTGTGTCTTCAAATGATATCTAAAATTAGGATGCAAGTCTTTAGCAGAGATTCATTTGTTGTGGGATGGGGGCGGGGGGCAGGGTGGTACAGTTAATTCTGAAAGCCACTTTCATCTCTTATGGGGGATATTGACAGAGGAATTACTTAATATCTTATGACAAAGATCAACTGTTGTAGACTTTGTTCAGGATTCACGCCTATTCACATACACAATGATTAACATAGATTTCAACACCACTGTTAGAGCATATGCAATGTGTTAAAAGTAACCTTTTTCTTTTTAAACACTCTCTTGGAATGAAATTATTTATTATGATCTCTTCTACTTCATGGCCCAACTCCAAGGATCCAGCACCTAGCCCAAGTGGTAGAAAGGGCTTTGGCTATCTCCACTGGGAGTCCTTGGGAACTTGTCTTCCCCTTCCTTTCATATGCTACACAGTGGCTGCTGAATGGCTCCGTGGAGGCTACCTCAGCCCAATATACTGATCAGAGGAAGAAGAATTGGAGGATCCACACAGAGAGAGATTCTGTGGCCCCAGTCATTCAACTCCTGTGTTTTGGGGGCCTTCACAGATGTGGACTCCATGCTGTTAAGGGGCGCTCAAGTCCTGAGGAGTCTGCCTCAAATATGTCCCCACCACACACACCAGAAATACACTAATTCCACTGCCAGTGGGACATCCACAGAGAGAGCAGCTGTATTAGTCCATGTGTGCATATATATATTAACCTTTTTCTCTCTTCTGACAGATATATTGTGTGACCTATAGTTTTGCTGTCAATTCACTCAGTAGTTCACAGTAGCAGGCACATGTTGTCAGATGTACCATGCTTTCAAAAAACAAATGTCTGATGCTCCAAATGAGGTTTCAGCACATCTAGTGTGTCCAGTATGATTTCATGTTCAAGTTACTCAGGGCACGTCTTCACTACCCGCCGAATCGGCGGGTAGCAATCGATCTATTGGGGATCGACTTATCGCGTCTAGTGAAGACGCGATAAAATCGATCCCCGATGGCTCTTCCGTCGACTCTGGAAATCCACCGTGGCAAGAGGCGGAAGCGGAGTCGACGGCGGCGCAGCTGCGGTCGACTCGCCGCCGTCCTCACAGCCAGGTAAGTCGACCTAAAATACGCAACTTCAGCTACGCTATTCACATAGCTGAAGTTGCGTATCTTACGTCAACCCCCCCCCCCCCCGTAGTGTAGACCTAGCCTCAGACTGATAAATGTCAGAATTAAGGTCTCTTATAAAGTAGCATTTATCTTATAATTTTTCTGTAGGAACTTCTACTCAATCTAAAACAGTACTTGACTTGCCCAGTCTTTCATGTATGTTGCCATAACCTCTCTCTGCTCATATGTAGTAGCACATTTTATACACATGACAGATGGAATAATGCGCAAAATATGCATCCTATGACCTGCACTGAGGATCTGCTGGTAACTGAACAATTTGTGAACACAAATGAAAAATACGAGAAAGAAGCCTTTTATTGTTAGAAATGGGGGCATCTATTACTTGTTCTGTATTGCTTCACCAGGTGTAATCAAAATCAGGTGATGCATTTAATCACAGCATTCAGAATCAGTTAACCATGTAAGATGCTAGTGGGTGGTCTGTTTTTACATGTGGATTTCTTTATTTACAATTTTCTTCCTCCCTCTCCCGCTCATTCATGTTTGTTTAAATAAGAACTCCTTGCTGACTTTGACATTTTCCTAGCAGAGCTTAGAAAGCATTGAAATACAGCAGTTTTCTTTTCGTAGATGCTGATTTCTATTAATCTAGATAGCAAACTTTTAGCAGATGGGCTTAAAAAGAGGGTTGCTTATTTCTTTCTTCATTCACTTTCCTCAAGACTTTGCAAGATAGCTGTCAAAGCTTCCATGGGTTTTGAGGGCCAGGATCTGTAAAATAACCCAGCTGCTGAGGGAGAATAAATGATTTCCTGACTAGCGCCTATAAATGAGAACACAACCTTCAGCCTAGCATATCAACACTTTCTTCTTTCTGATCTTCTGTTATGGGAGCTAATGTAGCTCATCCATACTTCTGAATTGTTCAGTTACTTTAAGAAATTCAAAGCCCACAAAATAGGGGGCTGCTGTCTCAAGAGTTGACTAATGTTTTTCTTTTAAATTCAAATTTATTCTGTAACTTTTGCAGATCTTACATAATGTATTAGCCTTTATCAAATATAAAGAAATGAAAATCAGCAATCTTAAAGTGAGCTTCTACAACATATTATCCAAGGGGGTTTGTTTTGCTTTACAGCTTTTATTATGTGATTGTTTATTTATTTATTTATTTATTGTCATTTGTTGCTTTCATAAATCGTTTAACTCAGGGGCATAGAATTTGAGATGAGCAACCCCGAACTCGCATTAATTCACCTCCTAGAGGGCTGTCAAGATTGGGTCCTAAATTTGTAGATATGTATAATATTCTTAAAATTAGTGTAGGCGATTAAAGAAATCTGTGAATTGTTTTGGCCAAATCTGCTGTAAGAACATCTTCAAAAATAGCTCTTTGTTTTATTTCTAAGTGGGGGAGGAAGTGGAAGAATATAAAAACTGAGTCAAATTCTGCCCTACCTATGCAACCCTGTTGAATTAATGGGACAAATACAGCCCTGGCAAAAGAGGGCACAACTCCATGAAAATCAATAGAACTTAGCCCATTTACACCAGGGCTGAATTTGGCCCTGTATATGTAGTGGGGTTACTTGGATATTCTAATAATCAAGCATGGAACTTAGCCCAATAAATTGTAGCAATAACAATTTTCCTCAATGCAAGAATGATGAACTTTTTCCTAAATATTAAAGTAGGTTGCCATGTGTGAGATTTTTTTCATAATATACAACATACTGTGTAGCTGAAAGAGATACCTGTGCTTTATTGAGAGAGAGAATGTAAGTTGTTAAATTCATTCATTATCTTACTCTGTGGAATAACACAGAAAAGGCTTGCCCTCTCCTCTTTTCCAACTCCTTAAACTTTCTCTGCTCCTGTCATGAGGATTTAAGGAGCAAAAGTAAAGCTGGGGGAGGGGAGAATCCAAGACATGTATGCTATCAGAAGGGAGTTGCAGATAGGCGGCAATAAGGTGGAAGTCTTTGTGACAGGCCTCCTCATCTGCTCATCACCTCTGGCTGTGCAGCACACCCATTCTGCTTGGGTGGTCTACCAGGAATGGCAAAGACTAGCACATACCTTGGGCAGGGCCCCAACCTACCAGCCTTTCTACCTTCTCCCTCAGTGACTCCAGCACAGACTTCCATTCTCTTATTTCAGTTAACAGATGCAGCAGCAGCCACCAGATTTTACAGCAGCAGATTACTAAAATGTTTAAGTTTGGTTCAGAGAAAGCAGCCAAATTCTTGGAATGTGTTTGATGCTCACTCCTTAGAGAGCCCCTTCATCCCACACCCCCAAATGAGGCCTCAGCTCCTTCCCTCTCAGACTAATCCCAGAACTTCTGTTGACTTTTCAAGAGGGAGGCATGAGGCTCTTCCCAGTCCCAGCTTCCTCTGCTGGTTCTTGTGGCTGCTGATTTCAGATTCCCTGTAGTCTGGGACTATATTCCCACACTACAGACTTCATTAACTAGAGTTAAGGTGTAGTTCCTATTGACATAATCACTACAAATCAAGGAAATTGTCAATGAAGGCCCAAGTTCATTCACATGCCTCAATACCCAAACATCACTCAACCCAGACACCAAACCTCCATAACAAACAGTAGCACTGAGAGGAGCCTTTGAGGTCCTGATACATCGGCACATAGAAACTCTGCTCTTCCTTAATCTCCCCTTCCCTCACTGCAGACCCCACCCACTAACCCTGATTCTCATCCCCCTCCCCCCAAGCCTCCTGCTCTTTTTGCTTCCCGGGTCCCCAGAGGCAGCAGTATATGTTAGGACAGGGGTCGGCAACCTTTCAGAAGTGGTGTGCCGAGTCTTCATTTATTCACTCTAATTTAAGGTTTCGCGTGCCAGTAATATATTTAAACATTTTTAGAAGGTCTCTTTCTATAAGTCTATAATATATAACTAAACTATTGTTGTATGTAAAGTAAATAATGTTTTTAAAATGTTTAAGAAGCTTCATTTAAAATGAAATTAAAATGCAGAGTCCCCCGGACCAGTGGCCAGTACCCGGGCAGTGTGAGTGCCACTGAAAATCAGCTCACGTGCTGCCTTCGGCACGCGTGCCATAGGTTGCCTACCCCTGTGTTAGGAGCTGATCTGGGGATTCAGGGAGGTAGGCTGTATCAGTTCCATTGGCTTCTCTTTGATGAGATGATGAGTTAAGATTGATAAGGAGAACAACTCTTGATGTATTTCATTTTAAAAATTAAAAACTATCTTATACCTGAGATGTCATTCTGTGTGAGTGGGTGAGTAAGTCTGGAGTTTGTAAGGACTGGGATACTTCAGCTAGAGGAGTCCATAAAACTATGAGACTCTGAAGGAAATTTCACAAAAGGATTGTTTTAAAAATGTTTTCTTTGGCAAAGTCAGTATATCTGTGACCAAAATTATGGAGAATTCAGTAGTCCTAGGAAGAGTAGTTATGTTTAATGTGGAGACTAAATTTACTCATTAGAGTATGAAGTAGAATCCTTTTAATCCTGTTTAAGTACAAATCCCAATGCAATTTTAACTATAGAGCCCCAAGGCAACTGGGACCCAAGGGTTGTTGGTACCCACAATGGAATCCAGTAAGGTAAGGGCTGTATGTGGAAGTGTAGGGGAGGAGGGTGTCTATGAAGCTGGGGGCCCAGTTAGAAGGTTTTGTGGATGCTGGAAAAATTAGGGACCATATTGGGAAATTGGGAGCAGGGCTTGACTGATCTACCAAAATCTCAAAAAGTTTGGAGGAAGGTTGACAGAAGCTCTTACTTTAACTGAACTAATTACTCATCCTTTATAGATACTTCAGCCGTGATTGACTTCGCAGAATAATAATAATTTTAAAAAAACTTCTGCAAAGTAGGCTCAGTAAATACCTCCCCTGCTAAAGCAGCAGTTTGTTTTCCTGACAGATTCAATCCATTCTAGAAAGGATCAAAAGGAAATCACTTAATTTTGCAGTCCTGGCTATGACCTTACATACCTTTGTGTGTGGGTATTTATAAATCATGGAATGGTCCTTGGATCTTTTCCCTGAAAGATTCAAGTGTTGGTTAAATGCTAACTAGCCTTTTTAACGCTAAAGAAACTCTATCAGTAGTTACATCTCCAGTCAGATCAGTGGTATGAAAATCTTGCTTTAATCAGGTTAATGATCTTAATATAAAAAGGAGCAGAAGCATAAACTGCTTTAAAGTACAGTATATTTACAATTTTAGGATTAATATAACTAGAAAATGTTTACACTAGTGGTTCTGTCATTCTCAGAAAGTTGTAATAATAATTGGTGCTTTATAACTTCTGAGTACTGTGCAAGCACTAACTAATCCTCATAACACCATTGGGAGGTTTATTGCTCTGGTTTTGCAGAGGAGGCACAGAAAAAGTCAAAATTGCCTTGTCCAAGGCCACATGATACGGGCTACATTTTCAAAACTGGATATTAATTTTGGATGCCACAGATTCGGGGTTACCAGTTTTGAGACACATGGAGTGTGATTTTCAGACGTGCTGAGCACCTGAAGCACCCATTGACTTCTTTTGGAGTATTAAGTCCTCACCCTTCTGAAAATCATCAGGCCAAAGGTGTAGCAATTTGGGCACTCAAAACCCGCGAAATTCAGTTAGTGACCATTTTTGAAAATTTGGGCCAAAATTGCATACAACTCAGAAGTTACATGGGGGAGGCAGGCAAGAACATGTCATCCATTTATGCCATTTCCTTAGATTGAGCCACACATATTGAGCCACGGTAGAGTAACATGCTTCTTATATGTCGTTGGTAACTTAGGCCGTACCCAAAGAGTTTAATGTTGTTTCTTATTGATTTTTTTTTTCAGAATAATTTTGAACATTTTGCTCATTTGAGTTTGAAATGAGGATTTGTTTTCTGGGTTAATTTCTTCTTTCTCTACATGCTGTTCTTCCATCCCCGCCCCCAGACCTTCCATTATTCATGGTATCTTTTGTGGTCGTTCATAGTATTTAATGTGTTTTAGAGAATGGTTTTGGATGTGTATTTTAATTTACTCTTTACCCTCTAATCGGGTAAAGGAATCCCATTGTTCATGTCACTTATCATTTCATGATTGTTGATTGTCAGCTCTTTGGGGCAGGGTCCAACTTTTTGTTCTGTGTTGGACAGCACCTAATAAATGGGGTTCTGGTCCATGGCAGATCTTCTGAACACTACTACAGAACAAATAAATAACAATAATATGTGCTATACCCTATGTGTTTATGAGTAATACGTAGGGGAACAGTTGAGATTTGAATTTAAATGTTCATTTTAAAATTAATATTTAATATCCTTGTTCCATTTTAAATAGTTATTTTAATAAAGTTGGCTCATTAATCTAACTGTATTAAACTTGAGTGGGGGAGTTCTATAAATAATCCTGAAATATTACTCTGTTTTTTATAGCTGGAATTTAGCTAATTACATCAAATGAGTAGTACATTACTACATTTAGCATTTTCATTAAAGTTTAATTAGAGCTTTTTCCATTATTGATTTAACACTATTCTGTAATGTTATAGTGGTAGCTAAATGACTTCATAACCTTCAAATTGATAGCTACAATTTTAACCCCAGGCTGGGTTTTTTTCTTTCTGCATTATTAAAACGGCAATAATACAATTCTCTCGCAAAAATATAATTTATTGTATTTATTTTTTCAGTTTTAAAATATGTCCATCACCATGTCTTGGTGGACGTACATAAGAACAATATAAAATTTAATATTACAGACTTTAATTAAATACAGTTGACTCACCACAATGAAATAGGAATGTAAAAATACCTCTCTCAGCCCCCCAGGCTAAAGTCTGAATGTACTCTTGAGCTGACATGACAAATGGATAGACATGTTGGAATTGAAAGGAGTTTGTAAGCTTTTTAAGCCTGTGTCCTAAAAGCATGAAGCTTAGTGATGACATCTCTTTACCTCCGCTTGGTTTCTAGGCTGCTGTTGTTGTGGTATTCAACTTTGCCATGGTTCTGCTAATTTTTCCTGCTATTCTAAGCATGGACCTTTACCGTCGGGAGGACAGGAGATTGGATATATTCTGCTGCTTTACAAGGTGAGGCTATCTGGGAGTGTTACTTTGTATCAAACAATCTCCTTGTGGTTAACACTTGGGGCTCTGACAGCAGCCCTTCTGTGTGAATAGTTCCCACTGCAGTGAGCAGGAGTGCTGCATGCTTCAGGACTGCAGGATCAGGCCCATAGTAGCATGTCAGCATGATTTTATTGCTAACAGGTGAAGCATGTTTGCTATCTTGGTTTTCTGCCTGAGCAGATGTAAAACAATAAACAGTGCTCTCTCTGTTCCATACATACTGTGCCACACACACTCATTTTACTCTTTGAAGCATAACTTTCCAGAAGTTTGTAGCAGACCCATGCTTTGAGAATATCCACAAGTGTTTAGTTCACTGTTTTTATGATTTTTGTAGGATCCCAAAGAGAGGCCCATGTGCTGAAGTAGAAGGGTGGTGGGTTGGGGTGAGGCAAGAGTTAATTCCACTTTGGGTGTTTCTCTCGGGGACCGGCCAAAATGTGAGGGCCCCAAGGCATCACTTGTACTTAAAGTTATCGTCAGCTCTATATAATTATTACTGTTATACATGGAAACCTTTAAACATTACGGGGAAAAAATCTTCCAAAAGTTTAGAATTGGGAAGTGACTTAGGGGTACAGCTCTTTGTAGGGCTGGGAGAGGTGCTAAGAGGGCCATGCCACAGCAGGACAGACTTGGACAGAATTAGGCCTGGTCTACACATAAAATTTAGGGTGACGTAGCTATGGCACTCATGAGTGTACAAAATCCATATCCCTGAGCACCACAGCTGAGCCGACCTAAAACCTTGCTGTAGGCTTGGCAAGGTCAATGGAAGCATTCTTCCATCAACCTCGCTTCTGTCACTCAGAGAGGTGGAGTTACTACAGCAATGGAAGAATCCCTTCTATTGCTGCAGTGAGAGTTAACACTGTGAGGTGACAGAGGCACAGCTGCAGCACCATAGTTATGCCGCTGTAACTCTCATAGTGTAGACAAGCCCTTAGTGATCAGACTGCAGCATCAGCTCCACCATCCAGGAAATGGGTGCAGCATGAACTCTGCCCCCCTCCCTACCTCCCGCATGCACTGAGCCAGCTTTGTGGCAAATGCTTATGGAGCAGAGCCCATGGAAAGGCTAGAGTCACTGGCAGGGATGCTGGAACTTAGGGGTTCCTGCGGTACATCAGCACCCCTGGCTTGAAGTAATAATAGCAACTGAATGCACGACCTCCATCGTTTACAGGGTATACATTTTTGTTCAATGGCTTTCAGTGCCCCTGGTCACTGGGGGAGCTAGTCTGAAGCACTGACTACAGTTCCCCTCCCATTGCATTTGGTTAGGGGAGAGGAGAAGTCACCTTGCATCCTCTCCCTTTTGCACACCCACTAAGGACCAGACACAATTTAACCTTTCTATAAAAGGGAGAACGTGCCATGTCATCTCTAGCATTGTTTTCAGGGTACAGGGAGTGGTTGAAGCAAGGGACTGTGAACCCAGAGCTTAGGTTCTATTCCTGGCTTTGCCATAGATTCAGTATGTGACGTTGGGGAAGTTACTTAGACCAAAACATCCCAAAGTTTTCACTAACTTTGGGTCCTCCATTTTTGAGTTTGATTTTTAGAAGTACCAAGCACCCACAGCTGCTATTTACTTCCCCATCTAAGTGGCACAAAACATAGATCAAGATCTGGGCCCATCTACTTACCTATACATATAGATACTTAATGCAATTTTGATTTGTTTTGGCAGGCAGCATTCTGAAAATCTTTTTGTATTTATGTAACTTCAATGAAAAGTTTCTGATACTGTTGTTCTATTATCAATGCTTCATACCAGGTTTATTTTCTCCCCACACTTAAAGAAAAAAAGTTTGTCTTTGATTATGCGAGGTCCATCTTTGTCCTTGTAAACTAGGTAGCTGCCATGTTTTGTAGAGGATACTCTAAAACTGAGTGCTTGAAGAAAATACTTCTGTAATTTTGTCTCATCATGTTGCCCTCCTGTTCTGGAAATTAATCTTCACTTATGCTTACTTCATTTTTTACAACATGCAATCAGCGTATGGCAAGTATTTTCAAACTGTTTCCAATGAGAAGGCCCAAATGTTTAACAGCTGATTGATTTGAAATTATAACCTTTAATAGCTCTAACAAGAGAACTCAGTTCATTGTGTATTTACGTTTTACTCTTCTGAATAATTTAATCTTTACTATGGTTACAACAGATGCAAACCCAAATCCATGTCGGTATATGCAAATTGTGGAACTACATGCCTAGCTACCTGATTTGCATGTGTAATTAACTGGCTTGTGTGAACAAATGCTAGTTTCCTCACAAAAACATTGGTATCTGGTTTTTGTTTTATGTAGGCACAAGAGATACACATATATTTATGTAGGCACCTTCTCTTCACCCATGTTTAGCAAAATGTTTCCTTCAAGTGCAAAACAAAACCTTCATCAAAAAATTATATATAACTAAAGTATAAAAAACTATTATTAGTTGTACATGCATAAAGACTACCCTGTCTAGTCTGATGAAAATGAAAATGTATATGAGTGTAAATGGATGTTTGTCTCTTCTCTTTCAGTCCATGTACTAGCAGAGTGATTCAGATTGAGCCTCAAGCATATGCAGATAATGATAACACTCGCTACAGCCCTCCACCACCCTACAGCAGTCACAGTTTTGCACATGAAACTCAGATTACAATGCAATCTACAGTGCAGCTGCGCACAGAATATGACCCTCATACCCAGGTGTACTACACCACAGCAGAGCCCCGCTCAGAAATATCTGTGCAGCCAGTCACAGTGACACAGGATAACCTCAGCTGCCAGAGCCCAGAAAGCACAAGCTCGACAAGGGATTTGCTTTCCCAGTTTTCAGACTCGAACATGCATTGTCTTGAGCCACCCTGTACTAAATGGACGCTCTCATCTTTTGCCGAAAAGCATTACGCTCCATTCCTGCTAAAACCAAAAGCCAAGGTAACCTGCAAAATGCACATCCGTTTTACAGAAATACATATTTCTCCCTTGCCCAAGAGGAAAGGACTTTTGTATTTTGGAGCAATATGAGTTACCACATTAGAGCTTGGTAAATTACACTGCCAACAGGCAGAGATTCATTTTGGAATATGTATTCTTAAATGAGCTCTAAAATCTTAGAGCTAATTTCAGACTTGAAGACTTTCAACTTATTAATGTGTCCAGTGACAGTATTTTTATTACACAGATTTTGAGTGAAGGGAGACACTGGCATCTGTAATATAAGTTTGTAAACAGTGAAAATAAGTTAAAAATAGATTTCTAACTTTTGTTCCCTTTAAAATGTCTAGAGCATGGTCCAACTCCCATTGACTATAATAGGAATTAGAAAGGGTGCATTGTGTGTAAGGGTTAAAAGCATGATACTAAAAAGTAAATTTCAAATAATTCCTCTAATGTGCCCTAAGCAGCATCTTTTCTTTAGAAACATGGGACTTACTGCATTTCCATTTTCTATTGCAGGTTGTGGTTATTTTCCTTTTCCTGGGTTTACTTGGGGTCAGTCTTTACGGTACTACCCGGGTGAGAGATGGACTGGATCTCACAGACATTGTACCACGGGAAACCCGAGAATATGACTTTATTGCTGCACAATTCAAGTACTTCTCCTTCTACAACATGTATATAGTGACACAGAACGCAGACTACCCCAACATCCAGCACTTACTTTATGACCTTCACAAAAGTTTCAGCAATGTTACATATGTTTTGTTGGAGGAAAATAAGCAGCTTCCCAAAATGTGGTTGCACTACTTTCGAGACTGGCTGCAAGGTAAGAAAATTGCTGAATGGCTAATAGAGGGGTTTGGTGTCTTTTTGTGCCTGTGTTTTTAACACAGACCTAACTTCAAGTACATGAGCAGTCCCGTTGGCTTCAGTTGGGAGTATTCATATGCTTAAAGTTAAGCATGTTACTTAAGTGCTTTGTTGGATCAGGGGCCAAGTGCGTAGGATTATTATAGTAATTCATTCTGAAACAATTTATTCTTTAGTACTGAAAATAAACAGTAACATTGCAGCAAATTTAACATTTCTTAGTTATGGGTCATCAAATTCTGCCTAGAAATGCATCTCCCTCTCCCATCTTTATGTTGGAAAGTCTTTTAGGAAGTATTAGTCAATTGAAAAATAAATTGTGCTGACCTATGGAGACAGTCTAAACTTTCCCATAACTGTTTACACACTACTAATGTAGCCAATAGTTTCTAGAAAACATGTGCATAAAAGTTCTAGTATTTTTATTTGTTTGTTTTTTCCTTCTGAGAATATGTTGGGCAGCATGATGAAAGTAAAGCCACTAAGTGGCATGCAGTCCAAAAATGATCAAGCTCCCTGTTGTATTTAATATATATTGAGGCTGAGAGGAGCTTTAGTTTTGTTTTTGTTTTGTTTTTTAGGTCTGAAATTCATTCATCAGTCTTCTGTTACGTTAATTTAATGAAAGTTTTGCTTGGAATATTTTGCTCAGAAGCAAATTTAGTTGCAGGAGAAGAAAAGGCAATAGTTTTTAATATACTTTTCCAAATACACTTATATGCTGGTATTCAACTGAGATTTGTTTCTGTTACTGTGTTTTTACATAAAGCAATTTGTAGGTAACAACAGAAAGAAATACAGGAAGTTGTAGGGTGTCCCCTTTTTTGCATGTTTTGCAATGATACAGACATGCAAATAGTTTCCTGTACACAGAATAAAGAGATGTGGTATGAGTAGTTAGCTTGAGGGGAGAGTGTTTATTGTAGAAATTATTTCTGTGTCTTCAAGTTTGTGCTGATGCTCAACATGCAATGCTAGTGGTAAGTCTGGAAAGAGGGCAGGATTGCTTGCTGCTGGCAGTGTTGTGTGATAAACACTAGGTCTGAAGAACAGCTGTGTGTAGCTTGAAAGCTTGTCTAATAGAAGATACTACCTAACCCAGCTTGTTTTTCAGTGACACAGTAAGGTCATCAGTCATCATGCCCATTACAGGTACCTGATTCTTTCAGAGACAAATCTGTCTCTCCACATTTATTTACACCAGAATACCACACACTCCATATCCCAATGCTTTAAGGTTCCACTATATGCTTATTGTGAATCTGACATCTATATGACAAATGAATCTTACAGTAATCACAGCTGCATCCTACAGGGACTCAGAGTTTCTCGAAAACTGCACACCAGCACCAATAACTGCTCTGGTTCCATGTTCAAGAGTGCTTTCGTTTTGCTCCATTTTTTCACTCTGCTGCTGGGAAGATAATACCGAGCAAGGGATTTGACCCAAGCCACACCTCCTTTTTGCATAGCCACTATCTCTACAGCTCACCCCAAAACTGAGTAAGCCCTGCGCACCACATTATCCACCATTCCCTTGTTCCCTTGCAATCATAAGGTAGCTTTTTAGAGGAGGTGAATGTGTGTGTAACTCACACACTTTTGAGATAATAGATGTAACTTGCATGACACATTTAACCAAAAAAAACCCAAAAAACCACTAGGGTGGAATAAGCAGGCTCCCCAAACCTGTGATTTGACAAAAACCTCAGCCCTGATGAACTCTTGTTCTTTTTAGGTCATAAATGTGACTATCACTTGACATTTAGAAGGAAGAACTGTACAACTAATATAAAACAACTACATTGTGTAGATTAAAATAGAAGGAGAAAAACATTAAGCAGTGTAGGCAAAGGAGAGGAGATGTTTTAAGATTATGGAGTGTTGATGAAGGAGAGGGATCTAAGACCTATACTAGAGAAAGCTCTCACACCTGTACTAATGCAATTATATGAAGGAGCAGATAGTAATAATAAATAATAATACCTAATTCTTATATTGTGCTAGCTAGATCCAAGACTAAGTGAGTGGAATGGAAAGGAAGTAAAAAGAGAGCAAAGGCCAGATAAGCTGGCTGGAACAGGTCCATGCAGCTTTTTAAAAACAAGGAAGAGGGACAGTTTTAAATTGGATCCTGGAATGAATGGAAAGCCGGTGGAATTGTATCAGAATGATGTGATTGTATGTTAGAGAACATGATATGATCTTTCTAATGGCAAACTAAGGCTATTTCATGTGCTTGAACTACAGTGATAATTCCCATTGACTTCACTAGGAAGTCAATGCACAGATTGCAGGCTGAATATGGTAGGCACCTAAATATTTGCACGGTGGATTTGGTAGGTAACAATAGCATGTGAACAGCAGCATTTTTTATCAAAGTATTGTGCTTGGCGTTAGCCATACAAGACTCCCACTGATTTATTTTCAGTGGAGTTATATGGCTTCAGTCTTCCACAAAATCTTTTAAAACGTTGTCTTGCTCCTTGATTTTCTATAATGCAAGCACTTTCTCTTTTATCTGAAAATATCAAGGAAAGGAATTAACGTTTTAATAATTTCAGTTAGAACTGGAAATGTGAACTTTGTGTATATAAGTGACTGGATGTAAATGAGGTAATTTATATTCCCCGTTGACTTATAATTACCCTTGTTTTCCAAAGGGTAATCCTACACTGTGCTTCACAGTGCCTGCTCTTCGCATGGGTCAGGAAGGAATTCATTCCCTCATCCCCAACATCTCATGTACAGTATGGCAAAATTGGCCAGATGCACTCTGGAGGGAGGAGGTTCACCTTCCTTGTGTGAAGCATCAAGCATAGGTCACTGCTTCATGTGACAAATTTTATGTTCCTATGTTCCTGCATATACCATTTTAAAAATTGCCTTCATTTGTATAGCTTTTCCAAAGGAAGGCACCACCAAGTTGCTTTATCTTTCTGTTCCGAAAGATTTTGCTGATCACAATTATTTTTAAAACATACTAGTTTTTTGGTTGTACTTTTAATGTGTAGCTTAAATGTTGGTATGACCTGCTCATACTGAAGATATTTTCCTTTGAATTCACAACTTTTATTTATTTATTTAAAAGTGTCATGGTAATTTTGGTGGTCTGTAATGTAAGTTTTAGCGATTTTGAAATCATTAAGAAGTTATACACACCTAAAGATGATTTCTTAGGTACTCTTTCTGACATCTCTAGATCTCAGCAATGTACCGATTCAATAATAAGAAACTGGTGCTGGTACTTGTGCCTATTCCAGTAAAAACATAAAGGGAATAAGCCATCTAAGTCATAAAATATTCAAAATGGATTTGGAGTTTGTGGCGAAGATCCATTTTTTTTTATGTATAAAGGGAGGGGGAAAAGACCAGATTTTCATGCAGGTTAGTTATGTAAAATCACAAAAAGCACAAGTTGAATAATTTTGAATGCAAATGGCTAATTCTGGTTATTTGTGTATCTAGTTGTCCCCTTTGTATGAAGCATTTATTAATCTGAAAACTCTGGCCCCAAATATTGTCTGTTTAGCATAGCATCTTGTGCTCACTTTACCAAGGAAAGTTATGTTTATCGTAACTTACAAGTCAGTCTTTTCTTTGGTGGTCTCTCCTCCTCTCCCACGTTCTTCTTGAACAACCCTCCTTTAACTCCCAACATGGTCTTTTACATTACTATTCTGATAACACAACCGGTGCTTATAACCATTTCACTGGAGGTTTTAATGGAATAAACCTGTATTCAGGAAGGAGAGATTTGTATTTTTCACTTCCTAAGTTATATCTTGCCCACTGCGAGTGCCCAACAAACAGACCTTTCATATTGCATGCTTTGGAGTTGCTTAGATGATGTTAGAGTATCTGGTGTTAAATGGTCTCCCTTTGTTCTGGGCAAGGGGCTGGAGTACTGTCTGAGCTGGGTTTAGAAGGCTTGCTTTATTGCTTTGTTCTGAACCTGTTGGCTTTAGTGGGGGAAGGGGGGAGTATGATTATGGATGTCTGCATGGGAGGCAACTTTCCAGGGGGAGGGGTAAGCACTTGTAAAGGAGAATGAGCACTCAGGCCCTAAGGCTGTGTGTCATTTAGGTCATGTTTTCTCTTCCAACACTCTTATCTCTTTACAGCTGTAGCTAACCTATCAGTTCTGTAATGATGGTTTTGATTACAACCTCTCAGGGCAGCTGTGAGGTGGGTCGGTGCTTTTTTTTTTTTTTTTTTTTTTTTTGCCCCTCTGCTTTTCCTTCCCTTCCCAGGACATGCGGTTTGTCATCTGTTTTCAAAGAGCCTCCTTGCATTGGATTGTGGCTTCCTGTTCTAAATCTGATCCAAATTTGTGCTGTGAGGTATTCCCCCTTTCCTCTCCCCCCTTTCCCACCCTGAAAGGGTGGCAAAGAGGAAAATAACAGTTGAGAGTGAATAGGTGTTGGCTGTGATCTTTACACGTGCTGGCAGCAGATCCCACGACTTGTATTAGCTACACAAGTTGAACAGATGGAACAAATTGACAAAATCGTGTTCACTCACGCTGTGCTCAAGAAGCAGCTGAGTTGTTGTTTGAAGTTGAAAGTTTGAGTGTGGTTTTATTTTCCCCCTTGCAGTGGAATTTCTGGTTATATCATAGAGCCTATTGCTTTAGCGCTCTGCAGTAGCACAAGACAGTTAATGAGAGTGCTAATGTGCTTCGCCAGCATCTCATGAAGGCGCGGGGGGAGGAGGGGGAACAGTATGGGGAGTGTGTTTCTTTTTAGATAATGGATTAAATTCCTTCCTGATTTAACTCCATGGTAGTCAATGGAGTTTCTGTTTTGGTGCCATTCAGTGTCGGGTGAGATTTCAGTAATGTGTGGGGGCAAGGGTTGCGAAGAGTGGAGATACACATTTTAAAAAAAATATTAGCATTGCACAACTGTAGTTTATTAATAAAGACTTCAGTGAATCCTCGTCTTTTGGTTTACAGAGTGCTAGGTTGTCACCTAACTCCTAGCCGTGTGAATGGGGCAATGTGGAGCTATGCCACCAGGAGAAGGAATTGTGACCCCAAGTCATAATCCCTTCCCGGCTCCCCACTGACTCCTGGGAGCAGTCGGTTACTGCAGCTTTGTTCTGAGTGCAGGTTACTTACCCACTCTCTCACTAGCTCATCTCTGCTAGCCAGCTCCAAAAGCCAAGGCTCCTCCTTCTTGCCACCCCCTTCACGGAGGGTGAGGGATTGTAGCGGACCTTAGCTTGGACTCTGTGCATCTGCACTCCAGCCATAATGTGGGGAGAGCCCTAACACAGCCACGCAGTGAGCATGAGACTGGGGTTGGGTTTACATCATCCTGAAGCTTCATTAGGAAAGCTACAGGCTGGCCCAAAATAGATATATATGTAAAAAGAGTAATTACTTTTGATTCTCCCAACTGTAATTTGTTTAAAGGATGGTTTCTTATCGGCATGTTTAATCTTCCCCACCCCTTTCCCAACTCACCGTAGGTCTTCAAGATGCATTTGACAGCGACTGGGAAACTGGGAAAATCACATACAACAGTTATAAAAATGGATCTGATGATGCTGTTCTGGCCTACAAACTTCTGGTGCAAACAGGCAACCGCGACAAGCCCATCGACATCAGTCAGGTACTGTCCCGTACATCAGTGTGACCATATCTGTTTATGTGGAAATGCACAAACTAATGGGAGTTGTAGAAGAAATGAGGAATACTTAGTTGGTTTTTTTTAGTATCTGTTGAGTTTATAAAGCTGATCCTGCAGTTCTCACACACATGAATAATGTCACTTGCTTCAGTGGGAATACTCATGGGAGTAAGACTGCAGGATCGAGCCTGCATTCTGTAATATTCAGAAGCACCCGTCACAAATGTCTATCTTTATGAAATACTAGGTGGTGCATACTTAATATTTTTTGAGCCCAGTTCTGCTCTTAAATGCATGAGCTCAGTTCCCATTGAACACAATAGGAGCTGCATCCTTGTATATGAACGCAGGATTGAGCTTTGCGTGGCCTGATTCTTCTCCAATTTTACATCAGATTGAACTCCATTGACTTGAGTGGAATTGCACCTGATTTACACCAAAGTATGTGAAGAATCAGTCATATACGGTTGTCCTCTATTTTATTTTTGTGACTGGTGAATAGAAATCTTAAAATGTAGATTCCCATCTACTCAGTTTGCTCCCAACAATTTGAATGGAAAGGCACATTTTTAAGAGACATTTTTTAGGAAGGGTGGGTGAAAGGGTATTGGAGCCATAATATACTATAGTGAGGGCTGCCAACCCTCCAGGATTGTCCGGAAGTCTCCAGGAATTAAAGAGTAATCTTTAATTAAAGATTATGTCATGTGATAAAACCTCCAGGAATACATCCAACCAAAATTGGCAACCCCAACGATAGTACTCCTGCACTATCATGAGTTAAGGGTACATCGACATTTGAGCTGGGAAGAGTGATTCCCAGCTCACATAGACATACCCACACTAGCTGTACTCAAGCCAGCATGCTAAAAATAGAAAGTAGTGCAGGCAGGAGCCTGGGCTAGTCACCCAAATCATAGGCATGCGCAGCCCATTTCATTAGGGTGTGCACCCAGGGAGCCCCGCCCTAGCCCTGCCCCATCCACTCCCTCCTACTTCCTGCCCCCTGACTGCCACCCTCAGAACCTCCAACCCCCCCGCTCCTTGTCCCCTGACTACCCCCTACTGGGACCCCTGCCCCTAACTGCCCCCCAGGACCCCACCCCCTACCTAAGCCTTCCTGCTCCTTGTCCCCTGACTGCCCCCCTAGGACCCTACCCCCTGCCTGTCCCCTGACTGCCCCGACCCTTATCCACTCCCACGCCTATCCAACCACTCCCCGCCCCCTGACAGGACCCCCAGAACTCCCGACCCATCCAACCCCCTCTGCTCCCTGCCCCCCCAACCCCTCTCCACACCCCTGCCTCCTGACAGCCCCCACCCAGAACTCCCAACTCATCCAATCCCCCCCAGCTCCTTGTCCCCTGACCACCCCCTCCAGAGGCCCCCCCACCCTAACTGCCCCCCCAGGACCCTCCTTACTCCCTGTCCCCTGACCCCTATCTACCCCCCGCCCCCTGACAGACCCGGGGACTCCCATGCTGCATCCAACCCCCTCTGCTCCCTGATTGCCCCCTCCAGAGACCCCCCCGTCCCTAACACCCCTGCCCGGGATCCCACCCCCATCCAACCCACCCTGCTCCCTGTCGCCTGACTCCCCCCACCCCTTATCCAACCCCCCTGGCCCTGGACTCCTTACCATGGCATGAGATGAGGCTCCTCGCCTCCCTGCGGAGCCAAACGCTGCCCCGCGGGAGCGTGCAGCCCTGGCCCCCAGAGCGCTGCACGCGGGGCAGCA